TTAATGTTAAACTGGTTAACTTTTGATTAATTTTTTTACTCTTCTTTAAAATTATTTATGATTAAATATGACTGAAAGTCATGCAAGATCATATGTTACTTACAGTATTTTGAAATTTAGTTCAGAGAAGTGTTTTAATTAATCACAAAACAAGTTTTCAATTGATACAATCAAAACCTTGTTGCTCAGTATTTAGTTTTATTCAAATCTGAATTGAAAAAATCAAATTACTAAGAAATAAAAAAATTCAAATTAAAACCAGTGCTACAATCTATATGAATTAAACTTGACAGAATTTTATTTTAAATTATTAACGAATCTAATACTTTTCAAAATGGTTAAGACTTTCAATGCTATTTTTATGAAAACAATGGTCTACATGTGGCCAATCAAATTTTATATAAGTCAATCTTAAAATTCAATTAGTTTGTTTGTTTGTTTTGAATTTTGTGCAAAGCTACACGAGGGCTATTTGTGCCAGCTGTCCCTAACTTGTAAGACTAGAGGGAAGGCAGCTAGTCATCACCACCCACTGCCAACTCTTTTACCAACGAAAAGTGAGATTGACCGTCACATTATAATTCCCCCACAGCTGAAAGGGTGAGCATTTTTGGTGGGACGAGGTTTTGAACCCACGACCCTCAGATTGCGAGTTGAGTGCCCTAACCACCTGGCCATGCTGGGCCAAATTTCAATTAGGCTTTCTTTTATTGGCTGGTGGGCTAGTGTCATCTTTCAATGAGATTTAGTACAAATCTATATCATTTTTTACAAAACTGATGAATATTCATGGTCGACATGATGGTGCTTCACACATGATGCAAAAAGTTAAAAACAATCAGTGAACAATATACTTGATGCCCTTTGGATTGAATTGCAATGAAACTAGGAAAAATCTCACATATGCATTGATTTATTATTGTATAAAAACTTACAAATAAATTAATCACTGGTGTAATTTATCATAGGACATATAACAAAGCATAAATCCTGACTTGTATATAGTTTAGAAAGACTCCATTTCAAAAGTTGTCAGATTCAAGTCAAGAGGTCATGGAGTGGATATAATCATGCTTAACATAAGAAATGTGTTGTATTGGCAAAATAGAAAGATTCATTTATTTTATGCAATTATTAGAACATTCATAATTATCATAATAAGCATATTTCTATAATCTCAGACCTACCATCCATGTATGTTAATGTTATCCTTTGTAACCTTCATCCTTTGAAAAACATTGTAACTGCAAAACATGCACTAAATCACAGAATAAACAGCCATGAACATCTATTGAAACATTTTATACACTAGCAAGTTTTATCTCTTGCAACATCCTATGAATAGAAGAGAAGAGAAAGTTGAGGTCAGATTTCTCTTAAATATTATACAAAGCTGCTTACATGTATAAAACTTACATAACAATCCAGACATATACACTGTAAACTGGCAAAAAAGGAGAATTAAACAGTTGGAAACTCTTGTTTTTCGAAACTGCTCTAGAACTATGAATGCAAATTTCATAATGCAAATGCAGTTTAAAACAGCAATCACCATTTACTAAGTTGCCAATAAAGTGTAGAGAATTCCAGAATATTTTAAGTAGTTTAGTTTGATTAATTGAAATTGTTGAGCTTTGAAAAACTACTAAATCACCCTATTAGACAGGTATAGGTTTTAAAAAGTAAAAATTATTATTGGTTATGTCATTTTAAGATATTTCAATGTACAATGTAGATGAATAAATTGAGTTTTAGTATCTAAATGTAATGTCAATTGTAACTGCAACCTTTTGTGCATGTCAATATAAATTAACCATTTGTAAAGAATTAACCTGTTTTATTAAAGTTTACTTTCTTGAGTCTCAAAATACTTATATATTATAAAATGAAAAGAATTGAAATTAAAAGTAGCCAAAGCAATGTTTGATTGACAAAATTTTAAGGATATGTGATATTCATATATCAATTTGTAACACTACTGTGTTTAACATGAAATTTATGGACAATAAGGAACCTGTTACATCCACTAAACTAAATTAAATAAAGCCAACCTTTAACATTTAAGTATTTGTGAAGTCTCCCCTAAATTTACTACATCCATAACTTTGAAGGAAACCCATTCCAAAGGCCAACCACCCTGATAGGAAAAAAATCTTAACTGAACAAGACTCCTACCCTGCTAAAGTTTATGTCCCCTTGTTTTACCATTCTCACCACTAAGTACAAAAAAAAAAGATGATACATGAACACTATTAATTCCCTTAACATTTTAAATCCCTACAATTAGATCACCTCTAACTATTCTATTCTTCAAAACAATTTCAGATATCCTAAGCTGTCCTTGAATGACAGTGGTTAAAATAGGGCAGTATATTGCATATTGGTATGAAAAACAAAAACAGTATGATATACCAGCAAAATATGAAGAAATAAGTAATATGTTCTACTGCAGGAAAACACTATGTGCACCTCTTTGGAAAGACCATCCTTCTCTCCACACCATCAATATGCACATAATGGAATCTTTTACAAACCACTTTAAACACCGATGACAACCTTTGAATCCTAGATATCATCCAAGTGGCCTTCCTCTGAACCCTTTCTAACAACTCAATGTCCATCCCAAGGTAAGGAGTCAAAGACTGAACACAATAATTCAAATTAGTCATATCAGTGGCCAACACATTGAAATTAAAACCTCTTCAGACTTATACCCAATATTTCTGCAAAAAAATCCTAAATCTTATGTGCCTTACCATTTGTAATAGCACACTGCTTGGATGGCTTAAGAGACTAACCAATCAAAAATGAGATTGATTATCAGTCTGTATTTAATTAGTGACTGTGGTAAAGTATAATTAAAAAAACTATCTGAAATAAAACTTTTTGATAAGTATTTTTAAAACATTATTAAAATATCTTTTAAAATTTATATAAAATATACCAACATTTAAAGCATGTTAATCTAAATCATACACAGTGTTTTCTCATGTTATTTTCTAACATTATATATCATAGTTAGAAGAAGATATACATAGAATGAACCATAAATTTTCTACACTAAAATTTTAAAAAATAGGAATAAAAGCAGGCATTTTTAAAAATATAGTGGTTAAAACAAGTTTTGATTTTTTTAGAGAATTTTTTTTCTGAACTAGTTACTACACATAAAGTAACTAGTTAAGAAAAACTAATTTGTTTTTTCAAAAATTTAACATGAAATGTAATAAAATTTTTCTCTGTCACTGGGTTAGAATGTTTAACATATAGTAAGTTTCATTCAGAGAGTTCAATTTTCATAACTTTTCTAACCACTGTTTAAAACTATCTAAATTAGTGGTAATTTTTAGGTTTCTTATGGTATCTTCCAAAATAACCATGCACGTTTGTTTGTCAAAGGTATATAACACATATTGGTAATTATCAGCAACTTAAATATTATGTAAGATGTTGTGAAGAAAACTGTTACTTTAGTCATGCCCTGCTTGGGCACAGTTTCATACATGACTAAGATGGAAATTATCAAACAGGTATATCCACAAGTTCAATTAAAAATATGTCTTTAAGGAGTCTCGTTAAAAGGGATCTTCACTTTAAAGACAAATAACATCCCATGAATACATCACTGGTGCAGTCAAATAAAAGAACACTGGTTATGCTGCTACCTCCAGTTTCTTGCATGCCATTCTCCATTCTTGGGAAGAATTCCACCTTAGAATGCTTTAATCACTTGCCAGTAAGCAAAGAAAACCAGCTATTAACCAAAATATGAGTGAACTGCCACTACTACATCTTCTATTGTGAAAATGTAGAAAACAAAACTTGAACTTTGATTATTGAATACAAAGTGAACAAAAACTTAGCAAATATATTTAAATAGTTAAGTGTACACTCTATATTAAAAGCAACTTACATTCATGTATGTTTGTAGTTTTGATTCAGGAGGTAATCCTGCAGTTGGTGCAAAAGCTTGAAACAGAGGGTCCATGCTCGTGACAGGGTTTGGAGGTCCTAAACAGCAAAATGAATATATATGTATATATATATTAATTTGAATTAATAAAGCTTGAGAATAAGTTAACTTGCACTATTACATTTTTCCTATAAAGTATGTGCCAACTATAGCCTGGTATCGGTTGTAGGAACAAAACAAATACCTGTTTATGACAAAGAACTGAATTGGATAAGTAATATGTAACATCTTCCTATACACTAACACACAGCAATCAATATACTCTGGCATAAATAGTTTATAATCTACTCTATTGAACTGTATTCGGATGTTGGCTACAACTATTTGCAAAGTTTAGCTATGATATACTGTGGAATCACAGAATGGTGGCAAAAAAAAAAAGAGCTGTAGTAATAAAACCACTGACAGAGAAGGAAAATCTTGTAATAAACAATAAAGAAATCATATTTTCAAAGGATAATAGTTTCTTAGCAACTACAAACCTACAATTTGGGATGGCCAGAAATATTTTTTCTTTTAAATATTGATAACTACTTTGTTTACAGGTGAGACTTCTCGGAGCTGTGCATAAAAGACTTTTGGAACATCTTTTCTTTTTGTTAGAAAATTACACAAAGTAAATGTTTCATAATGACAAAATATGAATTATAAAATATTCTTAAGTTAAAAATTGTTGAAATAGTTTAAGAATCATTATTTTATTTAAGTTTTAAAATATAATTTAGGGACTTGATACATGAAAGGGTTATGGTTAATACATTTGTACTTCAATGACATATTTGTAATAATGACATATCCACATATTAAAAGTAGGCAATCAACTACTGTTGTCAAGATATATAACTACGTGTAGTGTGTATATAATAGTTGATATTGTGCCACTAGTATTAGTTCCTACTTTTGGCTTACATTTAATAATTGATATTGAATTTTCTACTACACAATTGGAATATTCAGATATAAATTTTTATTGTGGATTATAATAAAAAAGTTACAATATATATATATATATATATATATATATAAATGACTATTTATATATAAAAGCTTAAATAAGCCACAGATTCTAGAAAACCATGGATATTCTGTATTCAAATTTACTTTGAATATATATTATATACAGGAGACAAATGTATACATATAATGTATGGTTAATTTACATATTTGTGGAAGGAAAATAAAAATATAAAAAATACAATGCAATTCACTTTATCAACTATTATTAAAATTTACTGTTGTACAACTTCACAGTTGAACACGCTTCATAATTATTATATAATCAAAAGTTTCCTTTTTTAACAAATACAATGAGCAATGCAGGTGAGAATAGAAATTGCTATATGTAACTGCTTAGAGTTAGAAGTTAATTGATAATATATTTCATCAGTTAAATATACAGTAAAAAAAGTGAAAATGCACATAACATAAAACTCAACAGATTCTAAGTCATTGGGTTGAAAGTATGTGATGATGTATAGGTCTTGTATTGCAGTGACTGACTGTTATTACCTACATATTTGAAAATTAGAAAGTAAATCAAAATCTGCCTGGAATGTTTATTATACAACATAAAGCTTATATAAATGTTATTATACATAATAGAGTGAATGTGTCTGCAATGTAGAATTCTGGAATTTATATTTGTGTTATTTTTAATTTACTTTTCCTTCTAACAATAATCATATTCTGATACAAAGTAATGCACATACATATCATTATCTATGCTTATTATTTACGTAAACACAACTGAGAGTTCTACAGACTACAGTGCTATGTTTATCCAATCATTCTTTATGGTTCCAAATGTTGGAGAATATCACCGAAAATGAAGAAACGCATCAATGTCATAGAAATGTGATTCCTAAGATGAATGCTTAAAATATCATGAAACACACATACAAGTAATGAAGTCGTTCTAAAGAAGGCCAAGACAAAATGAATGTTGTGTGAAAATTTAACAAAGAGACAACGGTGTTTTATAGGACATATCATGAGAAAAGCAGAGATTGAAAACATCATTATGACAGGAAAAATCCCAGGAAAGAAAAATAAAGGAAGACAAAGACAGATGCTGCCATCAACAATTGCCAAGGAACTAGGAATTACCACTATAGAAATTATAAGAGCAATGGGAGACAGGGTTCAGTGGAAGACCACGTTCACCAACGCACTAGATCAGTAGATGGGCATGGTACCTAGAGAGACAGAGATACTTCAGGTTACATATTTCACTAGCTATAGTATTGGTGCCATATCACAAAAATGTTCTTGGCATTAAATCATAACGTATTATAATATAAAATTATAAGTGCAACCTGACACAAATATTTTGGCCAATTAATGGCAGCAAATTAAAATAAAGTGAACTGATTTACCTTCTGTAACTTTATTATGAGTATTAATCGTCAAATCTCGCATTGACGACGGCTGAGAAACCACTAAAGTCCGATTCTGTGATAACGATAAATCATTTGGTACGACGTTAGGGTTAGCGTGCATGAATTGACAGTCGTTCCCATAAAAACAAGTTCCACTTGTAGCAAAATATCTACATATGGTTGTTTTTCGACCAGGTCCGGAAGGGCCATTCATAGTTGGAATCATAATTAACCCCTATCTTATCAACTGGTTAGCTTACACAGGCATATAAACATTACAATTTGTGCAGATTTTAAAATTCTATATATTATACTACCACTATAACAATGAGATTCACTTCTCTCAATACAACAAATACACAGTATCAATGAACATGCGCACTCATGACCTCAAATAACCTCGTTTTCGAATAGTTAAAAAAAAAAAAAGCATATAACCCAAGCTTGCATCTCGCCAAAAAACAAAGTAGCATATTGCCATCTACCGCAGCTTTACATTAAATTATAAATGAGCAAAAAAGTATTAGGTGATTTGACAAACACAAAAAAGTATATTTTAGTGTTGGAAAATACTTCACTAAAATACACCTTGAAAGTTGTCAAACGTCAGCTACCATTTCTTACAGTATAAAATTCAATATCTTAATTTGTCCCTCTATCAACATTAATTATCAAATTAAGTTTGCTTTCTGTTCAAGAAGGTGATCCTTTGACATATCAGCTGCGAAATAAGCGCACGTGGATTTTGAGAAATGCATGTAATCAACAAATGGAGCCTATACACCAATATTGAATAGGTTAAAAAAATGAAATTTATGTTCTTTTCATTGTAAATACAATACAATATGATTCAATAACATCAATTTTGAATACAGTCGTGCTTATAAAACCTCCAGAAAACAATATCAGATTCAAAGTTGTGGTTTATCATTAAAAGTGAATTATCAATGTGTACATGCAATGTTAAATTCAGAATTTGTCTTTGAGTTAGCAGGCTGTCATTTAACAACTTGAAATGTTATCCTATATTTATATATAGGATATATCTACATACCCGTATTGATATTTAATCTAAGGAATAAAAATGTACAAACAAAGATATTATACATGCATTTAAAAAACACGCACACAAAAAAGAGCAATGAGAATTACGTTCATAATAAAACATAGAAATAACATTTACTACATTGACCTGCATATGAATGATAAGATTCATCTTTTAAGAAGTTATAAAAAAGGGAAAACATAAATAGAAATGCTTTGGTATATCAAGGATTTCTGCATTTCACAATATGATGTAGATAATACTTTTTTGCACATAATACCTTGGAAGTACTAACTTTATATTAGGTGTATATATTTATAAACAGTGGAGGATAGATTTATTGCATCACCCAAATTTTTCACAATTTTCTACGGAATCATTATCTCTTTTGAGGCCGTAATGCATGTAGGTGCAAATATATTTCATGGATGATGCAATACTGTTAATTATTATCACATTAGCAGCTTTATGGGCTGTCTAGGTATTACATCAGATTTTTTTTAGATATAAATAGAGATTTTCACTGAGAGCCAGTTTAGAAGTTCAACTGCTACAATGTGCTTATGATGCTACCACAGTCAAAGGTCAACTCCATGAAAAAAAGCAGTAATTGTTTCTTTGGGCAAAGAGGTACTTTCGACAAGGCAGATTACTAGAAGATTTAACTTTAACCAGTCTAGTGTGAGCCACTGGGTGCAGAGATATAAAGTGACTGGCTGTGTGGAGCGGTGGAAGAGAAGGGGGTAGGAAGAAAGTTTCCACAACAGCTGACGATCGTGTTCTGAAGCGCATGAGTCTGTAGAATTGTTGAATACCGTCCACATATTTCAAAAGAGCATGGCAGAAAACTTCAGGGGTCACTGTCACCACGTGTACTGCCCGATCTCACCAGTCTCCTAGCAAGATAGTGAAGAAAGAAATCCCACAAGATGAGGCTCAACTGGGCTAAAGAGCATGCTGACTAAACTGAAGCAAAATGATATTCTCTGACGAAGCAACGTTTTTCCTGATGAGAAACACTTTGTACGACGTCAATGTGGAGAAGAGTTTCATACAGCGTGTTTGAATGCAACTGTGAAGCATCCACTTGGTCATGTGATATGAGGATCCAATTTTGGCCAGGGTGTGGGACGCCTGCATTTTGGGAAAAGTACTGTCAATGCCGACAAGTATATCGATCGATATCCTCAAGTCTCAGTTAAAGCTAACAATTTGGGATCATCGGTGGAGCTCACCAGTGAACATTCCAGGATGACTCTGCTGCATGTTACAGGGTTTAAAATGTTGGTAATGTTCATGTACTATATGTAGTAGACGTGAAATATAGAGGAAATTTCATTTTACGTGGCAAGACAACAGCCCAGATCTCAACCCTACGAAAACTGCTGGAAGGAAATGGATAACAAAATGCAACAGAGGAAAACGAGAAGCACAATGTTAATGCAGAAAGCCCTAATCCGCGTGTGGCATCATGAACTCACTTCTACAATCTATCAATCCATCGCTCACTTTTTGTCCCGGCGATTTGAAGCATTTAACAAGATCAGAGGTGGCACAACTAAATATTAAAACAAGAAACAAACTCCGTGACCGCTTGTTGTCGATTTCATTGAATATAGGTTTTTCACTTCTCACAGGTTTGTCACGGTTGGTTTGTTAATAAAAATGCATACATGTGTTTCGATGACAGAAATATGAGTCAGCTTACACTACACAATGTCCACAACCCTTTTACATTAGTTCTGACACTCCCACAGTGAAAAATCTAATAAAAAATTACAAGAACCAAGAAAAATGTGAAAATATTGAGTGATGCTATATATTTTTCCACCACCGTATATATGATTGTAACATATTTTACGTAGCACATGTTTTTTTATTATTTCTATCCTTAAATAGAATAAACTACACTATTTGTTTTTGTATCTAGCTATGTAATTACAAAAAAACACATCTGCAATATTCTAATATTATATGCGAGAGCTTATAACGCTAAAAATCGGGTTTTCGATAGCTGTGGTGGACAGAGCACACATGGCTCATTGTATAAGTTTGGGCTTAGCAACAAATAAACAAAAAATGTATAATATCTGCTTTTATTATTATTTCCTCCAAAATGTTTCAGTTATTTTCTTAGATATTAGAAATTGGAGACTCGTAAATTTACTTAACCAATTATTGGATAAAAGTTTGTTCATTGCACTCATCGGTTAGTTCGATAGCAAACTATTAAATAAATATGAGAGAGTAAATTTTGATATTTATATAAAACAATACTGTCATCCATAGCCTAGTTAATTAATAAATATGCTTGAGATATTGTGTTAAAGTATTCTGATGTTAGAACTAGGAATAACAATTTGTTGTTTTTGTAAAGAAAGTAAAATAGGTGATGTAGTGCACGCTGGAGTGTAAACATTGTATAAATGTAAAAGGAAAAAGCCTTTTTTCCGATGAGCAACTGAACAAACAAACAAAAACACGGGTGGTTGCGTTGCTATTTTTTCATAAGGTTGCCACAAGGTTTCGATCACAGTACTATAATTCTCAGATCAAGTAAAACCAACATTAATGCCCAGTATGTATTTTTACACGGCATTTTAAACGTGAAACTCGTTGTCTGGCAGATGAATATAAAAATTTTAAAGTTGAATATGATGAAACTGAATTTGCAGAAGGCAGCATCCATTACTAATTATGAACAAGTTATTAGTTCTGATAAGGAGGGACTTTTTATATTTTCTATTACGGAAACCGTGACATTTTTTCTGATGATATAATAATGTTAGAACTGACAGTAATGAGGTTTCTGAAAACTGGGGCATATGGCTTTTAGATTTTATAATGCTGTGGATGTTATACTTATGTTCAACAAAAATTTTTTTCATATATGTATATATATATTAATTTACCATTGCAAAAGTACTAAGAAGCATCTTCCTTAATCGTTAGAGTTAATTTCCAAGAATTATATAATCACTGAATTTGTTATAAATACGAGGCACGCCCGATGGTCCGTGGCTGATAGGAAAGATGATAGGTTTTCATAAGCTTCAGCAGTGGAAGGGTTACAAAATGTATGCATTAATGAATTAATGAAGAAATAAAACGAACTTTATATGTGTCATCGGTTGTAAAGTTATTCAACACGAATTTGACATTTTAGAAATACTTTATTTTCTATTGCTTGCATTAAAACTGCCATAAATGCTACAGTTACTGTAAAGAGGTTAATTACTTATAATAAAATGATTCAGAGTTTCATCACGTCATTACAGTTCATGTTATCACTTCAAACCATGTTCTATCTGACGACCGTGCATTTTTACAATAGTCCTGCTACATAGTTTTCATTGCAAAGGGCTCGCTTCTCCATAAGGCTGTTATACCTAAGGCAAACCACTCCTCTAACCATGCTTTAACTTAACCACCTACTGTAAGAATATAAAGGTTCCTAACACCAGTTTCAACAGTCTGATTACACAGAAACCCAGAAGTACACCAACCAGCAACCTGTTATTGCTAGGAATAGCACGAATATCCGTTTCGTTCTCCAGCTGTTTGAATGATGCACAAGTTGAACAGATATTTCATGGAACTAAATTGTGTACACATGACTTGTTTTCGTTTTCCAGATGAAAATCGTTCTCGATTATGTTGTGCACAAGAACGGCTTTTGGCACTGACTCTTGTGTTTGTGGATTCTCATCTGTTACAAGACGTCACACTTTGCTTACCACGTCTGGGGTATGGCTTGTTGCAGGTCTCTTTCTGGATGGTACTGACGCCTTAGGTTTATCCATTTTCTTTCGTTTTCCAATGCTGTTAAGTACAAGGAATAACTCCGTCTTGAAAGTTTTATTCCTCATTTAGAATAAATTGTTATGATCAGAACGCATGAATATTTTGCATCAGAAAGAGTTTTTATATACTCTTCCATGAAAGTGATAAATTTTCGGTGACATCACACACCTAAAAAATGTCAAAATGTGATTCTGATACATTCCATTCCGCCATCACTTTATATCGACTGTGGTTATCACATGATTGACTCATTGCATGTTCAAAACCGTTTTAATATTAGGTTTTCAACTATCTGAATTACTCTTAGCTATCACTTTATGTACAGAACTGTAGCATGTGTCAAATTTCCCCTTAGTTAATGCGTACAGTATTTAAAATTATTGTACTTTTCATCAATTTTAGTTTGGACGCAACAAGACGTTTAAGCAAGTTACTCAATTTTTCTTTTGCTTGTGCACACTGCACTGCACG